CTTCTCCAGGTCACATGGAGGTAGGTTCTAGTCTGCCATCTTACCGGGAGTCATTGACCATACATGGAAGGGTAGCTGGTGGTAGTTGAGCAACATGAAAGTTGTGTATACTGGACTTTGAAATTTTGTTCACTCGTATTTTGATAATTTACTTACTACAAATTCTAACTATATATTTTATACGGTATTATTTTGTTTGACAGCTGTATTTCCCCTGCTGGGATGTGGGATATTCAGGAAATTATAGGTGATGAAGTTTTAGGATTCAGTGATTGCTGTAGGCAATTTGAGTAAGGCTAGTTAGCATAAAAAAGCCTACAGTAATTTTGAAAATGGGGCATTTCCTTGTTATCCTCAAGGTTATGAATATCTATGAAATGAATCTGACATTATCATCATTATCATTATTAGTCTTTTTAAAAATCATCTGTCCTTGAATTTGGTGGTGTTTACTACATATGAAGAAGCACTTCTTACTTATCTTAAAGTTGCCCTTTATCTTTGAAAGGGTTCCTCTCAGTTTTATAGACTTTCAAGTCAGTAGAAACTTCTTATGATATTTTGTGATTATTTGTTTTAAAATTCTATATTTTTATTCTTAAGCAACAAAGCTGTTAAAGAAAATGACAAAGAAAAAGTAAAGGAAAAAGAAAAAGAGAAAAAAGAAAAGACTCCAGCTACTACTCCAGAGGCCAGGGTACTTGGAAAAGATAGTAAAGAAAAACCAAAGGAAGAGCGGCCAAACAAAGATGAAAAAGCACGAGAGACGAAGGAAAGAACACCTAAGTCTGACAAAGAGAAAGACAAGTTCAAGAAGGAAGAAAAAGCTAAGGATGAGAAATTCAAGACCACCGTCACCAGTGTAGAATCAAAATCAACTCAAGAAAGGGAAAGAGAGGAGCCATCAAGAGAAAGAGATGTAGCAAAGGAAATGAAGTCAAAGGAAAATGTTAAAGGAGGAGAAAAAACACCAGTTTCTGGGTCCTTGAAGTCACCTGTTCCCCGATCAGATGCTGCAGAACCTGAAAGGGGCAAGTATTCCTTTTTTTGTTTACTTTTTGTTGTTTCAGTGTATGCTTGTTGGTTATCTCCTAATTTTGGTAAGTTCAGTAGTGATTTTTTTGAGAGTAATGAATACTTGATCTTAAATTATTATTCATTTTAAAAGTTTGGAACAACTGGAAATTACTTTAGTCTAATTATTTCTTTTTGTCCAAACAGAACAAAAACGCCGTAAAATCGATACTCATCCTTCTCCATCACATTCCTCCACAGTAAAGGTTAGTATAGCCTGAGGAAGGCAGCATCCGTATTAGGCTCACCTGTTTGGAATACCAGTGTCCTGACTTCCTTCAAGTCTTGTGTCAAGTATTCACTGGAGCCACTGGAGGTTTTATATTGCATTAGAAAATGAATTTTTTCTGTCTTGGTGGACTGATATTTTTCTATTGAGTATTTTTATTATAAAAATGTTAGAACTTCAAGGACCTAGCACTAATTTTATAGTGTTTCAAAGTGCAAGAGAAATTTTACCCAGAAGTGCCTCACTGCTTTAAGCAGTCCTTTTTGGAGTGCAATGGTAGCTACAAGCAAATGAATCTTTTCAGCAGAATGAAGCTATTTTTCGACATAAATATTGAAGAATATATAGCACGGAAGACTTCCTGAATGATACAGGATAAGCAAGATACCTCTGAATTCATCAAGCTTCTTGATGAGCATCATACCGATGTGGCTTCTAAGAAGGAGTCTTGAAAGGAGATCCATTTTAAAGCCTCCTTGGTGATCAGTTCTCCTGTAGTTGTGTATATTCAGTGAGCATGCAGCTTCTGTTGTATCTTCCCTTGGAGGTTTGTTTATACCCATTGGGTTCCCAACAAGTTGAACCTTGCGTTACCATAAGAGCAGATGTGGCCTCCAGTCCTACCACCCAGCAAAGAGAAACCCCAGGCATTCAACTGCAGCACAAAATCGTGGGTGTAGCCTTCTTGAAGACTCAGGGTAGCCATTCCTTGCTCCATATTTAATTTTAATTCTAAAGTCATCTAATTTCATGGAATCTTTGAATTTGCAGTACATTGAACTTTTAAAACTGTAAGTTATTAATTCTTCATCAAGAGCACTGTAGTGGAATACCATAATTGATTGATTTCTTTCTTTCGTTCTTCTTTCTTTTCTTTTTCTTTTTCTTGCTTTCTCTCTTTCTTTTTTCTCTTTCTTTCTCTCTTTCTTTCTCTCTTTCTTTCTTTCTTTCTTTCTTTCTTTCTTTCTTTCTTTCTTTCTTTCTTTCTTTCTTCCCCTCTTTCTTTCTTTCTTTCTTTCTTTCTTTCTTTCTTTCTTTCTTTCTTTCTTTCTTTCTTTCTTTCTTCCTTTCTTTCTTTCATTTTTGAATGACTTTTTCCTTGTGAGAGGTATGAGATTGAATAATCATGGCACTTTGCAACAAAAAAGTGATTATTGTTATACAAGAATTTTTTTCTTGTAATATAATGCCACTGAGTTTTCTAGCTGGAAGAAAATGTTTACATTTAATAGAGTTATAAGTGAATAAATTTGAAAGTTTCCAATAAAAGTATAAAAATATTACTCAATGTTATTCTTCCACAGTGACCTCCAATATTTTAAACTTTTGATGGAGAAAAATGTATTGCTTTTTAAAGTCCCTTAGTTATTTATAGCTTAATATGAAAAGTGTGGCATTGATATTTATTTTTAACTTTTAATCAGAATCAATTTTTTGTTTTCTATATTGACTATATTTAACATTACAATTCCATTACATGCTTTTGTTTTTTGTTTTCATTGTTGATATTCATATTGATAATGATTTTGTAGAATTTATCCTCACAAGAAGTAGCTGGTTTGTTTCCAGGTTACAGACATACTTCCCAAAGTTCCTCTGAGTTCTGAGAACTATGCCAGCTCACCTGTCATCTCCATTCATTTTCTACAGGACAGTCTCATCGAACTCAAGGAGTCTTCAGCAAAGGTTTGAGTCTTTTAAAATCATCATGCCTAAGTAAAACATAAAATTCTTAACTTCTTTTATTTAGTAGGTGTCACCACCCTAGTAAATTCTGAAAGGGAGGATCACTTTCTAAGTACTGTTTACTTAGAATTATCTTTAGAATTCCCTATCACAAATGAAAAGAACAGATGACAGTGGTCCATTTAGAGACATATGTTATGTGTGATGTGGCAATATTTTATATAATCTATTCTTCCTTGCTGTATTATGTATTTTTCTTTTATGCTTTAAAATCTGGAAATAAGATTAAGGTTTGAGTAAGGGAAATTAATGGTTTGTTTGGTGGGGAGAGGGCTAAGAAGACAGAGGACTTACCTAATTCATAGGACAAGCTTGCCCAGATGGTTTTTTTACTCTGCTTTTACAGCAGCTCAAGATCAAAAAAAAATTTGATGCAGTCATATGACTTTTAAATATGGAGTCCATCTCAGTCCATGCATTTCTTCATGTCTCCCTCTGTTGAAGTAGCTTTTTAGTTGTGACATTGATTTCAGGAGATAGAGTAAATATAAAATAATCATTCTTCTGAAAGGGAGTACTCAGCCTGGTGGTTCTGTTTACATGTCAGTATTAATTCTTACCACTTGCTCTACTTTCCTGGATATTCTGGTAATTAAAAACAGTGTGCAGTTTGTGTAATCTATTACACTTCATTTCAGTATTACACTGGAATTATCTATTGTTCATGTCATTTTGTTTTATCAAAAATTTAGGCCCTCTTTACCTAGACTTCTACTTTGTATTGTCTTTTATATGCTAAGTATAATTCTTTACTTATGGACCAAATGGAATTTTGAAATGGCCATTTGATATTGCTTTTTAAAGAAATGTCTGTAGATTCTGGGCAAACAACTACTAGTTCTTAATAGTTTTGATAGCCAGTGTGCCTGTGCTGTAGCATTATTTTTCAGATATGCTACATTAGCTGAAAGAATATCAACAATACCATAAATACTTCATTTTAAAGGAAAACCCTTTTATTGGCCAGTGTCAGTATGTAGTGCAATATAGTCCTTCACAATCAAGTTTGGGATTGTATTTGTCAGTCTTAACCATCAGCATCTTGTATGGCCTGTTTTATATTCATAGACTTGTAATAGTCTTAATTTGTATTTTTTTATTAAACTATACGTTAAAGTGGTCTGAAACCTGCTGTTAAAATTAAGTAGATTTCCTTATCACTGATGAAGATTATGATTTCTTTTATTTGTGAGGATTGTGTTTCTCATACTTTGCATGTCTAGATAATATATATTTGCCTCATCTCATGCTCAGAACAGTACTGTGAGACTAAATAGGGCAGATGGTAGTATCTTTTCGCAAATGAGAGAGTGACAGAGTTGTTGAGCCTTTCTGAGTGGCATGCAACTTCTCACTACCAAAATGTGAGCTAAAATTAAGGTTTAATTCTTTGTTTTTAAATATTTTCTTTTTTGTGTGTATGAGTGTATTGCCTGTATGTGTGTAACTGGACCCGCATTGTGCAGTGCCCGCAGAGGTCAGAAGGTGTTGGATCCCCCTGGAACTGGAGTCAGACAGTTGTTAGCCACCATGTGGGTGCTGGGAATCAAACCTGGGCCCTCTGTAAGAGCAATCAGTGCTCTTAATCACTGAGCCATCTCTCCAGCCCCCTCCTTAACATCTATTTCACTAATAGATGAAAGGATTACTGGCTCCTTTAGTGTATTTAATTGTATTTTTTAAAATATGGCATTTCAGATCATTTTCCTAACATTTTAAAATGATTTTTGTTAGCATTTAAAATTCAATAGACTTATTCCACATGGAACCAGAAAAAAATTCAAAATGACACAAACCTTTGCTGTTAAAATTATGTGACTCATTCTACTTTTCACATCCTTGGCTTAGCATCTTACAGTAAGGCTAATATCTTATAGTAAGGTTAGCTATTCAATAAATATTTGAAACAAATTCTTAAGCCTTTGGTAAAGTACCCAAAGTAGTATTTTGTATAGTAGCTGATTTTGCATTTTTAAAGTATAGAAAGTTTAATAGCATATTAATGTCTTAAAATGAAAAATTTCCGGGGCTGGAGAGATAGCTCAGCAGTTAAGAACAGTGGTTGTTCTTGCAGAAAACCCAGGTTTGAATCCCAGCACCCACATAGCAGCTAACAACTGTCCGTAACTCCAGTCCCAGGAGATCCGACAGCCTCTTCTGACCTCCGAGGGCACTGCACGACACGGGTGCACTTACCTACATGCAGGCAATTCACGCATCTACATAAAATAATAAACAAATTTTTTTTTAAATGAAAATTTTCCTGGACTCGTAGCAGCAGCCTATAAAATTGATTATAGCCTCACTGTTCTGAGGAGGCTCTTAAGGGTCTGCTGGAAGATATGTGTCTGTTTTTCATGTTGTCTTGTTACTTGTGCATATAAAATCTTTTACCTGTTTTTAGTTTGATTTTTAAAAAATGCTTTGCCCCTGGAATTACCTTTTTTTGTAATTACTTGCTGTTTTCACTTTCTAATCCATAGTAAACATTATCCATAGACTTGACTTTTCAAATGAGATTAAAGGGAGATAAGCCCAACTTAGTATTCACATATTTTGTCAGTTCCCTTTCTCTTCCCCTTTCCAGCTAGCATACTTGCACTTTTGATCAGTTGTGTTTTGGTCTTACAATATCAGTAGCTCCATAGGGTGAAAAGCATGCCCAACTCTTGAGTTTTGAAAGTTGCTTAGATTCCCTTATTAAATCTTAATGATCTCATTCTGAGGAAATAAAGCAAATCAGGAACAAATCATTAACTTTATTTGGGAAATATATATTGTATACATATATTATTATATGTTTTGAACACAGTAGGTGGTAAGAAGTATATACAAGTAGAAAAGGCACCTAGTTCTCCTATAGTACCAGAAATGATTATGGATAAAAATAAATAGCATGAGATGACAAAGGCAAACCTGACATAGAACTGGTAAATAAAAAATACAAGGGTTCACTGGAAAGCAGGTTGCAGAACTGAGAGATGACATACATGCTGCTGACTATTGAGCTATCTTTAAAAATGAAGTAGAATTGTAAGATTTTAGAATAAAACCAGTGAACCTATTCTAGTAAGGAAAATGGTAGGAAGGATGGAAGTTGGGGACTGCCAGTGGCCACAGCACAATACTCGTTAGGTGCTATGTGGTTGAATGTAATTGTGAAATGTTTGTGTGGCGTGCTTGGAATGCCTAAGCAAAGGATATGAATTTTATTCAGTAGGTGATGAGAAGCTGTGGAAACCAGTACCATGATAACAAATATTCTTAGAAGGGTATAGAGGAAGAAATAAACTGATACATTTCTAAACCTAGAACTTTTGATTCTGAATCAGTTATTTGACATTTTATGTTAAGAATGAAATGTTGAGTATTAATGTCAGAAGCCCTAGAACACTTTCTCCATTTCTTGCAATTCAGAATTCAAACAGGCATGACTAAGAGTGTCTTGTCTTTTTAGCTTTTAGTGAGAGAAAGGAAGTAATAAATAACTTGGACAGTTTTTAGTATTTCAGTAATATAGTACTGAGTTTGTCATATCAGTTTCACAAGTAATAGTTGTGAATAAATTTCACAATTGGGAAAATCTTTTAAGTGTCATTTCAGGCACACCCAAGAAGAGTATCTTTTAGGCAAGTTCTTTTTATGACTGCTGCTTATTATCTTGCTCTTTGTTATTAATAAGTAATTGGTCTATTTTAGTCAATCTTTAGCTTTTAAACATTTATTTGTTTATTTATTTTTGAGGTAGGGTCTCCTTGTAACCACACCTGACCTGGAACTTGCTATGTAGAACTGGTTGGCCTTGATCTCTGTGAGATCCTCCTGCCTCTGCCTCCTGAGTGCTGGGATTAAAGGCATGTGCCACCATACCAGGCCTTAAACATTAGTTTTTTTAAAAATATTTTATTATTTCTATTTTATGTGTACAAGTGTGCTGCCTATATGTAGATAGGTGCACCTGTGTCAAGCAATGCCCACAGAGGTCAGAAGATCCCCTGGAACTGGAGTTACTGATGGTTGTTAGCCACCATGTGAGTGCTGAGAATTGAACCCGGGTCCTCTGCAAGAATATGCAGTGCTCTTAACCTCCGAGCCATCTCTCCAGCCCCACATTAATATTTTTTAAGAATTAATTTTCAAAATGATGGTCTTTTTTAAATATAACTTTGAAGACTAAAGGAGTCCTTCCTGTAAAAATGTTTGACTTTTCAATCACTATTGTGCTTATTCCTAGAGTATATTTAGAATTAGGTAGTTATGTGATGAGTTCTATTCTGTATTCTTTGAACATATTAAATGAAACATAAACATGTACCAGAATTATAAATCCCATGACATTAGATATCTTGACTGGTTTCCGACTACTTTGTAAATATTTTCATTTATAGTGGATATCCACAATTAGAATTTTCATAAGTAGGCCCTTTGCTCATTTAGAATTAGAATATCCTTGACATTTGGCTATTTTATTACCTATAGAGTTTTAAAATTTTTGTTTATTTTTATTTTAGTGTATGAGTGCATTGCTTGCATGTGTATAAGTGCAACTGTGTTGTGAAAAGCTTGCGGAAGTCAGAAGGTGTTGGATTTCCCTGGAACTGAAGTTAGAGACAGTTGTTAGCTGCCATGTGGGTGCTGGGAATTGAGCCTAGGTCCTCTGCAATAGCAACCAGTGCTCTTAACCAGTGTACTGTCTCTCTAGCCCCTACCTATGGAGAGACCTTTTGACAGAATATTTGCTCATCACTTCTTAGTCTTTCTAGTTTAGTCACCCTCAGGTAACTGAGCTGTTTAGAACCAGTAAAATATAATTCACAGTCTTGATTATTTGATAGAGCTGCAGTGCTTTCAGAAGTGGAGAATATGCATCATCTTTTATATTTATAAAAATTCATTTGGGATAATTGCCACCTAGTTATACTGACACAGAAAGAGCTTGGTAGTAAAGTCACAGCTAAGTTTTATTTGCACATTTTTGCCATTCGTTGACTGCCTATTAGTGGAGGATAAGATTTCCATGACTTCATAGAGATTTGTGGTTTTTGTTGTTGCTGGGTTTTTTTTTAAACAGCAGAGCAAATCCAGTTGTGTGGTTCTTTTTGTTGTTGTTTTTACCCCAGAACAAATCCAGTTGCTGTTTTTTACATATAGACCCTTGTACAATGGAGTGACAAGGAGAATGGTAGCTTATGAATTCACTGAGAAATATTAGGGTAATAATGAACTGATTGCATTTAAATAGGAATTTTTATGAGGCCGAGGATTAAAGCCTTTGTGTACATGCCACGTTCTTTTTATTTTACCTCTTACAATACAAACGGCTGACTAATTTTGACTTTTTGTCTACCTGTTATCTTTCATTTAATAAACAAAATACCAAAAGGTTGCCAATACTGGAAAACTAATAATCTTTAGTAATATTGCCTTAATTTAACAGCTCTACATTAATCATACTCCTCCACCACTGTCCAAGAGTAAGGAGAGAGAAATGGACAAGAAAGACTTGGACAAGTCAAGGGAAAGATCCAGAGAAAGAGAGAAAAAAGATGAAAAGGACAGGAAAGAGCGGAAAAGGGTTTGTAATTTTTCTTAAAACTAGCTTGGAAAGCTTTTTATCATGTATAGTAGTGTGTTTGCTTCCTTTAAAAACTACTACTTTATTCCATAGCAGATTGTTTTGAGTTTCAACTGGTATTTTCACCCTAAAGCGTGTTTGCATCTTCTACAGTAATAAGGATCTTCAGTTTAGCAATCTCTACCAGCTCTGTTTACCTTTCATGCCATTTTACCAAGTATGTGAAACTCCTGCGAATACTCTGCAGTATGAGTTAGCGGTGTCTTTCTTGTATAAAAGTAATACTTTAAAACGAAACACATAACCCTTGATCAATGTAGTTCACAATTCTTGATTCTAGGATCACTCAAACAATGACCGTGAAGTGCCACCGGACATAACAAAGAGGCGGAAAGAGGAGAATGGAACAAGTAGGTAGACTTATTAATGCCTTGAAGCAATCAGCAAAGTGGATTGGAAAAGGCCTTCATGATTCTCTTTTGTAATTTTAGTGGGGGTTTCAAAACACAAAAGTGAGAGTCCATGTGAGTCTCCTTATCCAAATGAAAAAGACAAAGAGAAAAATAAGTCAAAATCTTCAGGCAAAGAAAAAGGCAGTGGTGATTCCTTTAAGTCTGAGAAGATGGATAAAATCTCCTCTGGTGGCAAAAAGGTAAATTAGGAACACAAAGGAACACGCTTATAAATTTAGTGCATATATTTGGTCAAACAGTCATTTGTTAATTATTTGAGAGTGGGAAGAGATGGGGGTAGATTCTCTGCTTGGGAAATTTGAACTAGCTCAGTCCTAAATTACTGTGAGGTTAGAATTAGTGTACCTCTGAGTTCTGTCCCTCTCCATTTTTCTGTCACCTACTTTAGTTCTTCATATTCCTTTTTTTCTCTACCCATAGTTTTCAGTTTCTTTTTATGCTTGAGATTAAAACATGATAATATTTATTATCTCTGACTATCACAGTGTCGTAAAGTCTTTATTAAATGTGACTTAAAGCACAGTTTGTAATAATTTACCTTAGTAAACTCATGTTTGAAGAAATTTGTATTTACTTTAAAAATTAAGTATAAAATGCATTGCATTATATTGATGAATGGTACTCAAATTTCATGCATGCTCCATAAACTACCAGGCAAACCACTTGTAAATTGTTTATAAAGCATTATTATATATGTATTCATGGTTTTAAAGCATTGTTATTTACAGAGTATAATTATATATGTAATATATTCATGATTTTTATTAGTTTAATGTATTTTTATTTTATGTATGTGAATATTTTGCCTGCATGTATATAGATGCATTATGTGTGTGCGGTGCCTGAGGAGCTAAAAAATGGCGTTTGATCCCCTGGAACTGGAGAGTTATGGTTGTTAACTGCCTGCCATGTGGGTGCTGGGAGCTGAACCTGGGTGCTCTGTAAGAGCAACCAGTGCTCTTAAAATATTGAGCCATCTCTACAGCCCATTTATTTATAGTTTTAAAAGCAAAATTAAAGGCCGGGCGTGGTGGCGCACGCCTTTAATCCCAGTACTTGGAGGCAGAGGCAGGTGGATCTCTGTGAGTTCCAGGCCAGCCTGGTCTCCATAGCGAATCCAGGCCAGCTAGGGCTACAGGGAGATCCTGTCTAAAAAAAAAAAAAAAAACAACAAAATTAAAAGATACAGAGTTTAATTTCCCAAAGATAGGCTGCTACTTTTCAGTGCTTTTCAATGGAGATAAAAGTTCATATAGCATAAGATTAACTATTTTAAAATATAATCCAGTGGCCTATAGTATATTTGCAATATTTTGCAGTTGTGTTTTTGTTCCAGAACATTTTACTTTGTCACAAAGGGACAACCTACACCAAATTATATTTAATTATGTGATTTTTTTTTCCTTTGTCATTTTGTAGATTTTTGTTGTTTTTGAGGCAGGACTTTCCTTTGTAGGTCAGACTGGCCTAGAAATTCCTCAGTAGCCTAACCTGGGCCCAGACTTGGAATCCTGCCTTAGCCTTCCCAGTTCTGAGATTATAGGTGTGAGCCACCGTGTCTGGCCAGTTGGATTTTCAGATTGTTTTTACTTTTTGGCTATTGCAAATAATGCTGATCTGACCATTTGTGTGCTGTTGTGAAGTATTCATTTGAATATCTGTCTTTTAATTCTTTTGGGTATATACTCAGGAGTAAAAAATTTAGGTTATTAGATAGTTTTATGTTTAGACTTTTGAGTTGTTGCTAAACTGTTTTCCATAGTGGCTATATAGTTTCCACCAACAATATACCAGGGTGCTTTACATCAGTCACCTCCTTGTAAGCACTGACTATATTTCATTTTTGGTTTAATCGTAGCCATGTGACTGGGTGTGAAGTGGTATTTCATCATGGTTTTGATTTCTATTTCCTTAGTGACTAATGATGCCAAACACCTTTCTATGTATTTGTATATCTCCTTTGAACAAATCTATTCAGATACTTTTAAAATGAGTTCTTTTTTGTCCTTAAGTTGTAAGTGTTAGATATTCTGGATACTATTCCCTTATACACCGCATGCAAATGTCTTCTCCCATTTTGTAAGCTGTCTTTTCATTTCCTTGATAGTGTCCTTTGATGTATGAAAGTGTTTACTTTTGATGGACCCAGTCTTCTTATTTTTTTTTGTTGTTGCATGTGGTTTAGTGCCATATTGAGTAAGTTTTTGAAGAAAAAGGATGACTGATCAATGATGAAAGGGAATTTCCAGCTGTTTTTTTAAAAACATATCTGATGTTTTTTCTTACCCAACTAATCTCATCATTCCTTATAGGAATCCAGGCATGATAAAGAAAAGATAGAAAAGAAAGAGAAACGTGATAGTTCAGGAGGCAAGGAAGAGAAGAAACAATATCCTTTTCATCTTAATATTTCAGTCACTGGAATGGAAAGCTGTGATACTGGCTGTGTTTACAATGAAACCTTTGTTGTATGTGGTCAGATATGCTGAATCTTATTAGTTTTAAAGTGGTCTTTCTAGTTAATTCTCAAATGTCTGAAATCTGAGAATGGGGGCATTTGATCTTGATTTTTTAAAAAATACTTCTGTAGTGACTGAGATATTTTATAACACAAGGGATTTTTATGCACTGCATTTTTATAATGTATGTTTTAGGCTGTTACCAATAGAAAGAAAAGGAACAGCGAGTCCCTGATTGGGGGTCATGGTGAATCAAAGGGCAAAATGATGTGGCACATGAGCATAGCTCGTAGAATTTGAGGTTACCAGGCTGGAAAGAGATATTAGAACTGCAGGCTGGGGTGTTATACCAAAAGGTATGACCCTATTCTTCTCTGCCCCAAAGTTGTTTTCCCTTAATTTGCCATCTACTCATAAGTCCTCAGACAAGCACAGATAATGAAGACTTTCAGCCGAGGTGAGTATTCTCTCACCAACTTTTCATTTAAAGATATCTACATAAAAGGAGGTCTGATAATGGTGAAGGAACAAAATACAGCTAGTTGAATTTTTCACCTGAATATAATGACACCAAGTCTTTGGGTATAGATGCAAAATAAAATCTGCAGTTCTTTTTAAGCTGTTTTTACTTTAAGCTTACTGATTAGTCACATTAAAAAAAATCAAGATGTATTTAAGAACATCTGGCTTTTTCTTCACCACTCATTCCCATCTTTTCTGCATAATTAATTATATTTTTAAAGCACCTGTAGCCCTGTAAGTGGTGCTGGTATTTATACTTTACAGGTGAAGAAATTACAAATCTAAAAGGTTGAAGCAGGCCAGAGAGGTATGAGACAGCACAGCTAAAACTTAAAGCCTTAGAATTCAATAGTTTTTTTTCCTTTTTAATTGAATTTTGTAAATTTCATACAATGTATTTTGATCCTATTTAGATCCCTCCCTCCATCTAAAGCCTCTTACTAACCCAGCTTAATTCCATGTATTCTATTTTATATGGATAGAGTAATAGATATAGATATATAGATGTATATTAAAGCCTATAGAGTCAAATTTGTGTCCCAAAATAATCCATTGGTGAGGGTCCATCCACTGGAGTCTGGTTAATCTACCAAGAGACACATCCTTAAAAGAGACTGTCATCTCCCCTTCCCAGCAGCCGTTGGTTTCCAATAGTTCCTCAGGTAGGATTAGGGATTCTTACTTTTTCCCCCATGTCTGTGCTTGGATTTTGTCTTGCTTGAGCTTTCTTGGAACTTTGCATGCTGTCACCATTGCTGTGAGTTCATACATGAGTAACTGTACAGCCGGAAAACTTTGTTTCCTAGTGGTCATCCACCACCTCTGGCCCTTACAATCTGTTCACTAACTCTTCTACAATGATCTCTGAATCTTTGGAGGCAGACGTTGATATGGGTGTCCTATTCAGGAATAATCACTCTTCAGTCTCCTAGTCTCTGCACGTTGGCCAGAGTTAATTGCCCTCTGCTGCATGAGTTGGAGATGCATTAATCTATGAGTATAAAATCATTAGGAGTCAGTTTAGTACTATATCTCTTTGACAGAGTAATAGTATTAGGCTCTTCTATATGGCCTTTGGCCTGTCTAGCCATAGGTTCTTATGCCTGATACCAATGTCAGGTATGGACTCATCTTATGAAGCAGACCTTAAATACAATTAGAAAGTGATTGATACTTCCATATTATTCATTCCACTATTGTACCACAGGTCATTTCTTGCTAATCCAGTTGTTGAAGCACACAGGATTCACAGCAGGGGAAGGTTAACCTTCCAGCATTATGAAAGCTAGCCAGTAGAGATGAAACCTTGAGGTCAGTACCAGCTACATTTCTCCTTGTTTCTTAGTGTCTTCAGCAGTAGGGAGGTTCTTCCTGACAAGCTGTTGTGGGTAACCAAGAGCAGGGGCAATGACCAGTATTGTTTGAAGGCCTTTGGGACCCCTGGTCGACAACTTCAAAAGAGAGTCCATCCCTGGCATTGGGCTCTTACTTTGCTAGCCTATTGGTATCTAGTACAGGTGATATCCTCTGTTATAAGGTAACTCTTTTTAATCTCCTTTTATAATGAATACATGTTTACTTTAAGAAGCTTCTATAGAGATCAGTTGTCATATAGCTTTTTCTAAAGACCTTTAATGTTATTTATCCCTCCCCATACTCCCTCCTCTGCCTTGCCCTCCCATTTCCCATTGCAATTAATCCTTCCTATTATTTCCCTTTCCCACTTTATATCACTGCATTCTACCACCGCTCCCAGGAAGCCTTTCCCCACCTCCTGCATGACCATTTATTAGTTTCCTGACTTAACTGGATTTTTCAAATTGAAGCATCCAGAGCTAGGATTTCAAAACTATCATCTAGTTGTGAGAGAGTACATGCGGCATTTGTCTACCTGGGTCTGGGTTACCTTACTCAGGATGATTGTTTCCAGTTCCATCCATTTAGCTGTGAATTTCCTAATTTCATTTGTTTAAAGAGCTGAATAATATTCCACTATGTATAGTATCACACCTTCGTTATCCATTCATCAGTTGATATGGATATCTAGATTGTCTCCAATTCCTGGATATTATGAAAAGGGCAGCAATGAATGTGGATAAAGAAATATCTTTGTTGTAGGGCATAGAGTTTTTCAGGATATGCCCAAGAATGGTGCTAGGTCACATGGAGATCAATTCTAGATTTTGAGGAATCTCCACACTGAGTTCCATAGTGGCTGCACCAGTTTGCACTCACACCAGCAGTGGATAAGAGTTGCCCTTTCTCCACATCCTCGCCAGTATTTGTCATTGTTTGTTTTCTGGATGTTAACCATTCTGAGTGGGAAAAGATGAAATCTCAGTGTGGTTTTAATTTGCATTTCCCAGACGACTAAAGATGTCAAACATTTGAAAAAAAAAAAAAAACGATTCCTCAGCCATTTGTGCTTAATCTTTTGAGAGCTCTCTGTTCAGCTCCTTGCCCCAATTTTTAATTGGGTTGTTTGTTTTGGTGTTTGGTTTTTTTAGTTCTTTGTACATTTTAGATAGTGATCCCTGTCAGAGGTTTATCTGGTAAAGACTTTTTTCCCCCATTCTGTAGGTTGCCTCTTCACTCAAATCAGTCTTTTGCCGTACAGAAGATTTTTAGTTTCGTGAGGTCCCATTTGTCAATTGTTGCACTTTATGCTTGTGCTATAGGGGTCCTATTCAGAAAGTCCTTTCCTGTGCCCTTTGTCAATGTACCCTTCTTTCTCTAGCATATTTAAGGTACCAGGTCTTATGTTGAGGTCCTTGATCCATTTGGAGTTGAGTTTTGTGCATGGTGAGAGATAGGGATCTAGTTTCATTCTACATGACGCTATCCAGTTTGACCAGCACCGTTTGTGGCATATGCTTTCTTTTTTGCTGTGTGTATCTTTGGCCTAATAGTTTTTTTTAACTAAGAAGATTGTGAAAGAAATAGTATTATCCATTCTTCAAATCTAGGCATTCTTCCTCTTGCCTTCCCTGGTGAGTTATAATCTTCCTAATGTTGATCCTATTTTTTGTTCTTATCTTAGCCTTTAATTTGGTATTTAGTTTCATGTCACCGCCCTTAAAAAAGCTTCACTATCAAATTTTCATTAGGAATGGATCACCCATGGTCATTGGCAACTTTCACTGTGATTTTATATATCTGTTTTCACTCAGAACCGAAGTTTATCTTTTTCACATGAGGGTTTTGCAATGTTTTTCTTTGAGTTGTTTTTACACTGGCCATAAAGTATCCCTTGTGAACAAAAGGTGGGGGCGGGGGTGAGGGAATTGGACAGGCTGGATGTATTTGTTTAGTGGTCTTGTAGCAAAAGTTCTAGAACCAAATAATATTTTTAAAGATACATGTTGTTGCTGTTTTGGATAAAAATCTCACTATGTAGTCCAGGCTGGCCTCAGAGTTACAGAGATCCACCTGCTTAGAGGGTTCTGCCTGTGCCTGCTCCTGTCTTCACCTTCTGAGTGCAGAGGGTAAGGGCATGCACCACCATGCCTGGCCTTTAAAAATATATTTACCTTACTGACAATTATGCTGTACATACTTTCTTCTTGGGTAATCTCTTACTTTTCTGAGGCTATAGTTGATTTTTACTTGTTTTATGACCGCTTTTCTGTTTGGTTCATTCTGTTGTTGGTTGAGTTACTGTTTTTGTTTCAGAAATCTCATTTCTTATGGTACCATCTATCTGTAGGGTGCATCTTAATCTTTCTCTCTGGTTCCCCCGTTAACTTGTTTCTTATTATGCAGAAAGGAGAGCTAACATGTTGCATTGCCCTGATTTTATCATGTCACTAATTGTAAGATTTCTCTGTTGGTATTTAGAACAATTACATCAGGAGAGCAAGTAGAAAGTGGCATTGATTTGTTGTACCTATTTCCCTGATTGCAGAAATATTAAAATGATCACACTAGGATTAAGAGACTACTGTATATGTCACACCAATTGCATTCTTTCCAAAGTTTATCTTGCCCTGTTTTTAGTTCCAAACCCCTTTTGTGTTTGTTACCAACAATGTCTTTGACCCAATTTAACCTAACACTTCTTGGTTTAATTTCTTGAATATCACTAGCTTCTTTGTCTTTAACTTTTTATTATACTTTAATGTTTAAAAATTACTACTTGAGTCTAGGGATGTAGCTCAGCAGAAAAATGTTGTCTAGCATGCTCAAGGTCCTAGGTTCAAACCCCAGCACCAAAGAAGGTTCCTCCTTACTAAAATTGTCATCTAAGAGCTATCCTTTGCCTTTGCAGTTACAATGTGGTATATGTATCCCTGTATTCATATCCTATCCATCAATATTTTAGTCCACTGCATTTCTAACCCATTCCAGTAAGGCCAGTTTACTTTATAGGTCCATTTCTTATAGTCTCATACATGTAGCTTAATTCTTTTACCCTCGAAACCTGATGCTGCACGTTGCTAGTTCATGGGCAAAATGTGGCTTGTCTTCGCTTCACACAAAGTTTACATTTAGAAAGCACTGTTTTGTTTTTTTAATATTTTATTTACAAGTTTTATGTGTATGAGTGTTGCTTGCATGTCTATAAGTGCAGCATCCCATGTGATGCCCATGGAGGTCAAAAGAGGGCATTGGGTCCCTTGGAAGTAGAGTTAAGGACAGTTGTTAGCCCCCATGTGGGTGCTGGGAATCGAACCTGGGTCCTCTGTAAGACCATCTCTCTAGCCATTATTTATTTGTTTTCTTTCTATCTATCGTCTGTCTATCTATCTATCTATCTATCTATCTATCTATCTATCTATCTATCAATCAATCATCTATCATCTATCTATTATTTTTAAACAGTCTCACACTGTAGTCCAGGCTGATCTGAAACCTGTTCTATAGCCTAGGTTGACTTTGAACTCTGTGGGAAGCCACCTCAGCTTCCCAAGTGCTAGAGTTACACACATATGCCACTCCGATCACACATTGTTTTTTTAAATGGCCTTTTAATATTCAGAAAAATTGACCAACTAAAATTTCAATGATTTCTTGATGATTTGGAACATTTGGCATTATATCCTGATTTCTGTATGGCAGCAATGAAATTTGCCCTTCATTCTTGCTTTCGACTGCAAGGCCTTTTGTGGGTTAGCAGGCTGTTCACCTCAACAATCACTGCATGGCTCACTCCATTGCTTTGCATTATATCACTACCCCCTGTAGACAATTGATTTTTGTAATTTCTGCTCTAGCCTTCTTTTTCCCCCCTCCAGTCCATACTTGGAGACTGACCTCTTAAGATCCTGCAGATTTTTTAGGAATGCATTGTCATTCTGAGGCACAGTCTAAGTGGTTTTTATATGTGTTGAGACAAAGCGTTTGATGAAGTTTCTTCCTCAGTAGCTAGCCATTGCTTGCATGTGAGTTCATGCCAGTCATTGGTTCCTACATGTGGAAGAGAATGCAGCATATCCACTTACCTGTATTAATTTTGTTGAGGAAATAATTTTATCCATTTTTTCTAATCAAGTATTTTTCCTCATTGCCTATAGTGTTATATATATTCTGTGAAGCTTACATCTGTATACAGTAGTGTTTTGGATAATCAGTGAAAACATTAAGCATAGTAATGACTTTACTGCCATCAAAAAGAAGTTCAGTTTACTTACACTATTTTTAAAAAATATTTTATTATTTTTATTTTATGTGTATGAAGGTATTGCCTATATGTATGTAAGTGTACCCGTTTCATGCAGTGCCTGTGAAAATCAGAAGAGAGTGTCAGATCCCCTGGAACTGGAGTTACATGGTTGTTAGCCATCATGTGGGTGCTGGGAATTGAACCTGGGTCCTCTGCAAGAGCAGCCAGTCCTCTTAGCCACCGAGTTGTCTCTCCAGCCCTCCTTATACTGTTTGATAGAAGAGAAGCCATATTGATTTAAAAGATTGCTGTGTATGCTGTGTGTGCTTGTAACAGCAGATTTTTTGTTTTTATTTTGGTTTTTATACAGGAGTCATTTAATAATTAGGAAGCTCTCGTTAGGTGATTGAAGTGATAGACTATTTTTCTCTTTATTATGGTTTATACTCTATGAAGTACAGGATGTGGGGGCTGGAGAGATGGCTCAGCATTTAAGAGCTCTGGCTGCTCCTCCAAAGGCTATGGGTTTGGTTCCAGCACCCACATGGTAGCTAACAACCATCAGTAATTCCAGTTCCAGAGAATCTAATGTCTTCTTCTTTCTGGCCTCTGTAGACGTTGTAGTGCACTTATATGTGTGCAGGCAAAATGCTCATACACATAAATAAATAAAATAGAAAGCATTAGATGTGGGTTCTATGCGCTGATACTCAAGGGCCACTAAATTGTTGAGTGCAGAAGGAATTTGGTATTACTTTGCTTTTCATCTTAGGATAGACAAATATTCACTAAGGTGTTGTTTTGATTGCTTGTTTTAATCTCAACATTGATAGGAGCCCTTGAGCCCTTGTTAAAGGTTCTCAGGCCAAATTTGCTCAGCAGTCTCATTTCAAACTCCTGTTACCTTTACCCATACAGAACATATCAGGAACTGTTTACTATAAAAAAATTACTTGCTTTCAGTGTAAGGGCACATGGAGGCATAATGGTGGATTAAGATGATGGTTGCTATGTGTTTTTCCTAAAAATTTCTAACTTTCTTATGAATTTTCCTTTGACATTCTAAATGTCACCTTCATCTTTAGATTTGCTTCAGCTTTGGATAGGGAAAGAGGCAAGAGTTAGGGGAGAGGAGACAGACACTATGATCATGAAATCATAACTCCAGACACTAGTAAAATGCAGTAAACACAATGCTTGACACCTCCTTTGAGATAGACAGTTAACCATGAGGTAGCTATTATTTTGGTGGGCTTATATTTCATAGTTCCTCTTAAATTTTTTTATTATCATCACAAAAGCTATTTTATGAGAAATCTGTGAACTGCTAAAACAGGACCTTTTTCAGGTAAAAAGAACTGAGGAAGTGCAGATAATCACCAGTATAAAATGGTGCTTGTAAAGGCACTCTGCTCTTAGCAGAGTGGAAGGCCAGCTTTTGTTTGAATATGTTCTAAAAGTGTGGTCCAGTTTTTAGCTTCGATAGAGTGTATGTGTATTATGGAGGACAGTACACTGAACTGAGCCTGCAGTAGACAATGATTTTGAGAAACCTCAACAAAATCCTAAGTGTGAAAAAGATAGGTCTCTGTGACCCTTTACATTTATAAGCTGAGCTTTCTTAAAATTGTTAATATGGTACATATTTCTAAGATTTTTAAATTTGCTGCATATAATTAGCATAGACAACAAGAGTGAAAGTATAACTGTATTGAAGATAGAGTCCTGAAGGTCGTTTGATACAGCTTTATTCCTTGCCTTTCTCCTTCTTCTTGTTTTTGGATTTTTGAGATGAGGACTCGCTCTGCAGCTTAGGCTGGGTAACCCGTGCTGTCTCAGCCACCGATTATAAGTGTGCTTAATAGCAGCTCTTTCTGAAGTTGGGAGTGGGCTTCAGAAGGTTGCAACCCCGAAAGTTCTGCATTATTTAACAGTACTCTGGATATTGTTGAGATGTCTTGACTAACATCCTTTTCCCATTTGCTCTTGTACTTGCTGATTTGTCATTACAGGGTGTATGGACAGACCCCTAAGCTGAATGTCTCCCTGAGGAGGATGCCAAAGCTCCATTCGTCACTCTCAGAATGATATCTCCCATAATTAAGAGCTTCTGGTGCTGTCCATCTTATGGGAATCTGCTTTAAGTCAGAAGATGAATATATACCACTGTCCTTTTGACAAGACATTCCAAAGTCATTGATTTTCAGAGCATTATTTTCACATGCAGGCAATTTCTTGCAGCAAGGTCCCTGTGCATACAGGTTTTACTTGATATATGCCATCCAGAAACAGCATCTAATGAAAAATTTACTGACTTCTAATCCATCCTTCTTTCTCAGAAAGGAGAGGAAATTGCCTCCTGGAACCAGTTCCTTAATGATGTAGATAGGCTGCCTTTGTGTGTGGACTCCTAAGTGTGAAAACATTGGAATGACTATGTTGCTTGAGGATTTTCTTGTAAAAAAATTAATTTTAATTTCAGTTCCTGGGAAAGATTATTTTTACATGTTTTAACAGCAACAACAGTTTTATCCCTTAATGTGCCCTTAAATATGTTATCAAAACTTTCTTTGTCCTTAACTATTTCTCATAATGTGACCTCATGATCAGAAACCCATATTTTACTCTAAATATGGTCATATGACACCATGATGTTCCTTTTATTATTGCTACATTACTTAGACATCATCATGATCAAGGACACATTTCTTATTCTCCTAAGTATGGTCATATGAATTACCATGATATTCTTTATTGGAACATTATTTTTCAGTCTAAAAATTGAGATGAACTTACCATTTTAAAATGTACCATGCTACATTACTTAGACATCATCATGATCAAGGACACATTTCTTATTCTCCTAAGTGTGGTCATATGAATTACCATGATGTTCTTTATTGGAACATTATTTTTCAGTCTAAAAAATTGAGATGAACTTACCATTTTAAAATATACCATTCAGTAGTCTTTAGTATATTCACTGTGTGGTGCTGTCAGCACTGCCATCTAATCTCAGAACATTTCTCTCCCCTGCAAAAGTGTCCCATACAGATTAGCAGGCACTTTTGACTCCTCTTTCTTCAGCCACTGGAAACTACTAATGTATTTTTTGTCTGTGAATTTGCCTATTTGGGGACATTTCATATAAATGAATTCATGCAATACTATGGCCTTCAGTGCCTGGGTTCTTTCAACTAGCCATGTTATCAAGATTCATCCATCTTGTAGCATGTGTCAATAAACCATTCCTTTTTATGGATAAATATTCTATTGATTGAACGTGTGTCATGTTTTGTTTATCCATTTATCAATAGCTGGACAGGAACAATGATATTTTAAGTATTGAAACTGTAAATTCAATATCTGTATCCAAAATTATAATTGAAACTGTCAAGATCATACCTGGTTTGAGCAGAATGCTATGTAGAAATGATATATAAATTATTTGTTGGCATTTCATGCAAGTGTGATTATTTTCTAAGGCCCCTTATTGTTAAGGTTTTATGGACTATGTGAATGTAGTATATTCATTAATAAAGTTTAATGCATTAAGCATTAATTTAAAATTTGATGGAGAACAATGCTAGGCAGATAGGAAGTTATTTGCCACATGCTGTAATACTCATATTTTGAATTTATTTCATTATGCAGTATTTGAAAATGTCAATACATAAAGGATATGAGTGTAATTGAGTCAATATATTTTTAAAGTAATTTTTGTAATTTAGCTGACATTGCATCTTAATATAATTCACTATTAAATTCATGTCCTTGTGACAGATTTGATGTCATTTCTCTCCCTCTCTCCCTTCCCACTTCCTTTTCCCCTCCCCCTCCCCCTTCCCTTCCTTCCGAGACTCTCCCCTGTCTCTGATCATGTAAAATAGGTTCCTTTCCTTTGCTACATGTTCTGTTTATTTTTGATGCGTTATATTATTCCTTGCTCCCGTGGAATGTTGTACCTCTTGCTCTTTGATTTTTTCTCTCCAGCCCAAACTCCTGATATACAGAAAATGGTCACTGTTTCTTAACGGTCATAGTGTGCCTGTCTGGATGATATCTAAGAATATCAATGAAAACTACACAAATATTTCATGATTTTTTTCTTGGAACTTCAAGTCTTCGTTGTAGACAGACTTCATTAAATTTTCTTTCTTACTCCTTCCTTTTATTTATCCTCTCTGTTCCCCTGGCACTCTCTGCCCCTCCCTTCTTTCTGTCCCTCCTCTCTATGCTTTGACCTTCCTCCTCCCTTCTTCCCTCAGTCCATCCTTCTCTTATCTATCAATATAACCAGTTTGTTTCTTTCAGGTGGAAAGAATGGGATGAAATTTTTCAGCTGTGACCAGAAATTTATTTTCCTGAGTAGATTGCTGAGAATTGTGAAAGAAGAGGGTACATTTTCAGTTCTCTGCTTTATTGCTCCATGCAGAAAGCTAAATTGTTGTGTTGTGTATTACTGTATTTTAACATGTTGCTTAATTTCTTCGTGTTTATTTTCAGTAATGGCTGAAAGTGTTAATTATTCCATATTTTTAGCACAATGTGCTGCATATACTTCCCAGTAAGCAAATAAGGTTACATGTGTACAGATTTTCACCTTTGATTAAATATTGCCTGGGTTTAGTTCCTCTTCCCCATAAGAAATGCTTCCTTTTTAATGTTTGAAACTGAAAGTAAACAGTTATTGAATGATTTTGAATTTACCTCATTTTAGAACTCAGTTTTAATTTATCTGGCCTGTTTTTAATATTAGCCACTAAAAATAAAATGGGAGCACTGTCTTATGCAATGCCTAAGAATCGTTTTATATAGTATGTGTACAACATTAAAATGTTTTTCAAAGAAAAATATACCAGCACTCACTTTTCCTTTGCCATTCTTCTTTGTAATTGGGCAAATCTTGGGGAAGAAGGGAAATTTAAAAAAAAATGTGTTTTAATTCTACAGCTACAGGAGCTTTGTACTGCTAAACTTAAATCTGGAAAAGTTTCACAGTGACGTTTTTAAAAGAATTTTTTTATCTACTGAATTCTACCAGTGTAACCTTTTTTTCTAAATAAACAATAGTTTTCTCAACTGACTGTATATCATTGTGTATATTGTTGCTTATTTGGAATAACAGAAAAGTTGATTCAGTAATCTTTTAGCCTTTCATTTTTTTTCTCCATAGGCTGTACTGTATTGTCAAATAACATATCCAATAATATGGAAAGCATCTTTGGTTACTTTTGCACTTTGAGTAAGCAGTGGACTGAGAGCATGCCTAATACCCATTTACTTCTCAGTGTCTTGGAAACAGTGATACATATACAAATCAAAATTTTCAGAGTTGAAAAGGATATGCCTTTTTCCCCCAAGGATTAATAAATGATTACTCATAGGGTTTCTAGGGCATCACTTTTCCCTCTAGGTTTCCTAGAGCTCAATTAAACAAGGGCCCAAAGGGGAGGTGAGAAATAGGTGCCAGGCCAGCACTAGATAGAGAATTATTTTAGACTGATTGCTGCTGGGTGAGGGGAGAGTATGACTTACATATGACCACTGGGTGGGCTGACTAGACTTCAGTGGACGCATTTACACTGAAGGACATTTGGGTATAAACACCTGAATGAATAGGACTCAGCATGTAGGGCAGAGTGCATAGGGTTCAGTAGTGGGGTAGGGGGAGGCATGGATGGGGGAGGGTGTCTGGATTTGAGTGGGAAATGTATGAAATTTAAAAAGCTCAATTAAAAAGTGATACTATCTTAGAATTGACAAAAGCATCCATTGAGCTTTTGTACATTTTATACAAGTTTTTAATCAAATTTAGACCTCCGCCTCGCCCATCCATGCTCCCCCTCCCCCATGAATTTCATGTATTTAGCCATACATATTAAGTCCTAGTCAGTCAATCATTTGTACCCAGATGTCCTTCAGTGTAAATTCATCCACTGGAGTCTGCTCAGCCTATCTAGAGGTTGTTGGTAAGATCTACTCTCCTTCATCCCGTAGTGATCAGTCTCCAGTACCGTTTCAGGTAATTGTGATGTGCAGAAGATAAACAGATTATTTGTGGGAGAATGATTATGCATTGAGTGTTGAACACCTATCATGTGCCTAGCATAAAAAAGATTTCAAAGAAAAAGGAAATAATTCATACTAAAGTGATTTTTGACTTTGAGAAAATGCTTTATTTTGAAATCATTTTTGTAAAACAAGTAAGAAACAACACAGGTGCACTTACATATATGCAAGCAATACACTGATACACATAAAATATAAATAATAAAGTATTTTTTAAAAATCTAGAATAAGGTCTGGAGAGATGGCTCAGTGTTTAAGAGCACTGACTGTTCTTGCAGAGGACCCAGGTTCAATTCCCAGCACCCACATGGCAGCTAACAACCGTCTGTAACTCCAATTCCAGGGGATCTGACGCCCTCTTGCACATCTCCAATTCCAAGTGAGAAAAACAGATAATCTATACACAGAAATCATTGTTTTAAATTGTCCTTTTGATGTAAATAATGAAGTCACCTTCCTGGAGATAAAGGAACATCATTCAATGTGAGGTTAAACCCAGAAATGTTTTCATAATAAAAACAACTCCATTAACATGTTAGTAGAATCACCTATCTTCCATTCCTACCAGTAATGTAGTAATCATAGTAATCAGTGGGGGCTGGAGAGATGGCTCAGTGGTTAAGAGCACTGGCTGTTCTTGCAGAGAACCCTGGTTCAATTCCCAGCTCCTACATGGCGACTAACAACTGTCCTTAACTCCAGTTCCAGAGGATTTGATGCCCTCTTCTGACCTCCACAGCATTGCATGACACGGTTGGACTAACATACATACAGGCAATACATTCATACACATAAAATAATAAATGAAATATCTAAAAAAAGTCTAAGATGAGATAAGGGTGCGCACTGTATATGCAGATGAAATGATCGTGTACTGAAGACTCTTAAGACTTCACTAGACAACTCTTAGATCCAATAGAAATTTTCAGCAAAGTAGTAAGATACAAAGTCAGCACACAAGTCAATGAATTTTCTATATGCCATCAACAAATTTGCCATGAAAGCAATCGGGAAAAAAAAAATCCCATTTACAGTAGCTTCAAAATAATACCTATGAATAAAACCAAGGAGACTTCTATAATGAAAATGTCAAAACTGAAGACACTATGAGGTGGAACATCCCGTGGTCATGGATTGGCAGAATATTGTGAAAAGGGCTTTATTCCCCCAAATGATCGACAGGTTGAACATAATCCTTCCAGAATTCCAATGACATGATTCTTAGACCTATTAAAAACCTTGCAATTAATTTTGTAGGACAAAAATCCCTAAGCAGAAAAGGCAATCCTAAGCAAAAAGAATAATGCTAAAAGTATCACAATACCTGATTTCAAATTCCACTATACAGCTATTGTAACAACATGATACTGGCAAAAACAGAGTAATGGAGATTTCAGAAGTAAACCCACCCAGCTACAGCCATTTAATTTTTTTAAATGGTGGGAGATTACTTTGGTGAAAAGACAGTCTAAAAATGGTGTTGCCCAAACTAGATCCATATTTCACTATGCACAAAAATCAGATTGAAATCGATCAAATAATGTAAGATCTGAAACAAATTGCTAAGAGGGAGACAACATAGAACACTTCGATGTAGAGACATAGGCAAAGACTTTCTGAAAAATTCTTTAGTAGCTCAGGAAATAATCCCAAGAATTGACAGGTAGGATTGCAATGACATTTAAAAGCTTCTGGAAAGAAAAAAGCAGGGTGAAAAGACAGCCTACAGAGTGGGATCCTTCAATTATATGTCTAATTGGATAGTATGAGTGTACTGACTGCATGTATGTAAGTGCACTGATGTTATGCAATGCCTACAGAGGTCAGAAGAGGGCTTTGAATCTCCTGGAACTGGAGTTACGGTTATTAGTTGCCATGTGAGTGCTGGGATTTGAACCTGGGTCCTTTGCATGAGCAGCCAGTGCTCTTAACTGCTGAGATATCTCTATCTTCTTAGACTGTACTTTGAAAATGGACAAATATATTGGAGAATTCTCAAAGGAAATAGAAATGGCCAGCAAGAACTTCATGAAAAGTTAAATATCCTTAGCCTTTAGGCAACTTAAAAGTACATTTGAGATTCCATCTTACCTCAGGATGGCCTTCATCAAGAAAACTGGTAACAAATGGTGGCAAGGATGTGAGGAAAGAAGAACCTTTTTTTTTTTTTTAGGCTGACTAGACTCAGCAGATGGACTCACACTGGGGAATGGCTGGGAGCACTGACAACACAATGGACAGTAACAGGGATGACAGAGTATATGGGCTCCAGTGGGGAGGGGGAGGCTATGGGAGGGTGCCATTTGGGATGCGGGTATAAAGATAAATAAGATTGTTTGGGATGCTCTATATGAAATACAAAAAAATCAGTATATAAAAAAATTAGTTATGTTTGAAAAAAACTTTTGTACACTGTTGATGGAAATGTACAATGGAAGAGCCACCATGGAAATCAGTATGGAAGTTTCTCAAAACACTACAAATAGAGCTTCCATAGGCTCCAGTGGTACTGCTCCTGGGTATATACTGGAAGGAATCTGTCAGTGACCCATGGAGGTACTGACATACCTGTTTTGCTGCTTCATTACTCAGAGTAGCCAAGATAAGGAAGCAACCTTGTTACCCATCAACTAATGAGTGGCCAGAGAAAATGTATATATACACAATGGAATTTTAGTCAACTAAAAAGAATGAAAATATTGCTAGGAAAATGGATGGAACTGGAGTATACCTTTTTAAGCCAAGTAAGCCAGAACTAGAAAATATTGCATGTCTTCTCATGCATAATCTAGATTTATATCTACACCACACACACGTGCACATGACAGTAGAAAGGGGACTTGGGGGAAGGGAATATAATAGGGTATTACAGAAAGAAAACTTTTCTCATGCTGAAGGTGGACTATTTAAAGGTAGGAGTGGGACCAGGAGGAATGGAAAAGGGTAGTGGGAGAGATGAATATGAGCACAGTACAATGATATATGGATGAACATGTCATAGGCCCATTACTTTTTTGCTAACTACTAGAACGTTGGTAGTTTACGTTTTGTGGGGGAATGAGATATGGTCTATGTATCCTAGGTAGGTCTGGAACTCAGTCCTGTTTCAGTGCTGGGATTACAGGTGTGCAATATCATGCCCAGCTGTCTCCTTTCTCCATTATTGAAGAAAGGCAACCTTTAGTTGGGGGTCTCACTGGAAATTTATTGATGCTGGAAAATAGTAGCTTTGCTTTTTCAAAAAAAAATGTGTATGTATGTGTGCATGGTTGTCTGTATGTGTACCACATACATGCAGGTGCCCGTGGAGGCCAAAAGAGGGTGTTGGATGCCCTGGAATTGGGTTACAGGCAGTCTTGAGACACCTAATGTGGGTGCTGGGAACTGAGCCAAGGCCTTCTGCAAAGCAGTAAATACTCTTATCTGCTGAGCCATCTCTTCAGCCCCATAGCTTAACTGCAAAAAAAAAAAAAAAAAAAAAAAAAAAAAGTTGGAAGTAGGAAATTTGAATTTTTTGATATGATAGCCCTATCCAAACACCTGCTTGTTCTAGTTACAAAAGAATCTAAGAACCAACCTATGTTCTGAGGGTGCCCTCAACTCAGCATAGGAAAATAAGTGTCAAGTGAATGCTATCAAACCTTTTCTATAAAACACCAGATAGTTTCTATTTGAGGTTTTCTGGGTCATGTGCTCCTCTTGCAATTTCTCATATCTGCTCTTGTAGTGAGAAGGCAGTCATAGTATGCCAGTTAGTGAGCATGGCTGAATTCTAAGGAAATCTTATTTTAAGAAATTAGGTGGAGGGCTAAAGAGATGGTTTAGCAGTTAAAAACATTTGCTGCTCTTTCAGAGGATCTGGGATTGGTTTTCAACATCCACATTGGGTGGGTCACAAACACCTGTAATTTCAGTTCGAGGTGATTCAACACCTGACTTATGAGGGCACCAGCCATGCACATGGTGCACGTATATACATGTAGGCACGCACACAAAAATAACAGATTTTT